GCCATCTGGTTCAGGCATTTTGTTCTTAAGTAGGTTTTTGATTACCAGTTCAATTTTGTTGCTGGTTAATTGTTCTGTTCAGATTTTTTGTTTCTTTCTGTGTCAGCCTTGGAAGGTTGTATTTTTCTAGAAATTTGTCCATTTCTTTTAGGTTATCCAGTTTTTTATCATATAATTTTTCATAGTATTCTCTAATAATTCTTAGTATTTCTGTGATGTCCGTAGTGATTTTTCCTTTCTCATTTCTGATTCTGTTTATGTGAGTAGACTGTCTTTTTTTGTTGATAAGTCTGGCTAGGGTTTTATCTATTTTGTTTATTTTCTCGAAGAACCAGCTCTTGCTTTCATTGATTCTTTGTATTGTTTTATTATTCTCAATTTTATTTATTTCTTCTGTGATCTTTATTATGTCCCTCCTTTTCCTGACTTTGGGCCTCATTTTTTGTTGTTTTTCTAGTTTCATTAATTGTGAGTTTAGACAACTTATATGGGTTTGTTCTTATTTCTTGAGGTAGGCCTGTATTGCAATATACTTTCCTCTTAGCACAGCCTTAGCTGTGTCCCACAGATTTTGCGGTGTTGAATTATTGTTGTCATTTGTCTCTATATATTTCTTGATCTCTGTTTTTATTTGGTCATTGATCCATTGGTTATTTAGGAGCATGTTGTGAAGCCTCCATGTGTTTGTGGGTTTTTTTCATTTTCTTTGCGTAATTAATTTCTAGTTTCATACCTTTGTGGTCTGTGAAACTGGTTGGTACATTTTCAATGTTTTTGAATTTACTGAGGCCCTTTTTGTGGCCTAGTATATGATCTATTCTTGAAAATGGTCCATGTGCAGTTGAGAAAAATGTGTATTCTGTTGCTTTTGGGTGTAGAGTTCTGTAGATGTCTGTTAGGTCTGTCTGTTCTATTGTGTTGTTCAGTGCGTCTGTGTCCTTACTTATCTTCTGTCTCATTAATCTGTCCTTCAGATTGAAGGGAGTGTTGAAGTCTCCTAGAGTGAATGCATTGCATTCTATTTCCCCTTTTAATTCTGTTTGTATTTGTTTCACATATGTGGGTGCTCCTGTGTTGTAGCATAGATATTTATTATGGTTATATCTTCATGTTGGATTGACCCCTTTACAGTGATTGTTTTATTTCTGTATTCTCCCTCCCTACTTGCTCATTTAGCTCTTGCATATTTCTCTGCAGGTCTATCAGCATGGTTATGACCTTTATTTTGAATTCTTTTTCAGGATGATTAGTTAAATCTATCTCCCCAGGCCCTCTCTTGGGTGTTGTCTGGGTAATTCTGGACTGGACCAAATTCTTCTGCCTTTTCATGGCAGTAGAGTTAGCTGTTGGCAGGTAACACGTGTGTCACCTGGGACAACCAAGTCCTTTCCTGTTTGCTGTTCACCTTGCCCTTCTCCGATGCCTGTGTTGGTTACACGCACCCCTGGAGCAACCTCCGGATTAATCCCCTAAGCTGCCATGGGCAGGGTTGCTGTCAGGGTAGCCCAGAGCCCTGCGGGGAGTGGCAGGTGCACTGGGTGTGCTCACCTGTGAGAGCGGCGCCCCTTCACGCATTGCCCTGATTTCTTCAGCCTGCACCAGGCAGCTGCACACTCATGGCGGCCTTTGGGTCTGGCGCGGGCGGCTGTGCACTGGGAGTAGATTCTGTGTAGCTGCTGGTGGCACAGCCGCTCCTGGACTGCTCTGCTGCCACAGGCATGTGTGGCTGCTCCGCAGCCACTCCACTGCTGCCTCAGGTGCACGCGGCCACTACCGTGCCGCTAGGCCCCCTCCACTGCCGGTTTGCTTGGCTGCTCTCAGGCTACTGGGCCGCTGTGTTGGGGGCCACGCCAGCTGGGGGAACAACTGGCAGGTTGCATATCACTGTGAGGGGCTTCAGAGCTAGAGCTGCGCTGCTGCCCAGAGGATTAGGGCACTTGGAGTTTCCCTGGATTCCCAGCTGCTGGGCTGAATGTGCTGGGACAATTCCATCCAGCTGTGAGGTCCCTGTCCCTTTAAGACTTTCAAAAAGCACTTGCTTTTCTTTTGTCCCAGGGGAGCCGCTTGTGGGGACCCGCTCGCTGATTTTGATTTTCCGTTTCTCTAATATCCGGCACACCGTGCACTGTTTCTGCACTCCCAGTGCAGATTACTAGAGCTGGTTGTTTAGCAGTCCTGGGCTTTTGCTCCCTTCCTGCTCTGACTCCTTTCCTCCTGTCAGGGAGCTGGGGTAGGGGGAGCACTCAGGTTCCACCGGGCTGCAGCTTGTACCTTACCCGCTTCGTGAGATACTGAGTTCTTGCAGATGTAGATGTAGCTTTGCTGTTGTACTGTATCCACTGGTCTCTCTTTTAGGAGTAGTTGTGTTTGTTGTATTTTCAAAAATATACATGGTTTTGGGAGGAGATTTCCACCGCGCTACTCATGCCGCCATCTTGCCTTCTCCCAACATTTAATTTTTTGCATTTTTTTTGCACCTAGACCTTCACATAAACAATTTTTTATTGTAAAAGAAATTAGCACATTTTCAAAATCTTTAGTGTTAAAATTCTTTACACCAATAGCTTTAAAACTTTAAAAATTGAAGTTATTACTATATTTACTTCTTGCAAATATAAGTTCTTATCCTAATTAGAAAAACCTCCTTTGTTTTGCTAAGATGAAGTGCACCATCCACAAAGCTGTTCCAATTTCCTGTATACCTGGTCTCTTTGTGTTATCTAAACTTGTATATAATACTCTCCTGAAACTGCTGTTAGAGGTTCCCATCCACTATTACAGCAGTCTCCTTCCTACTGCTATTCTACTTTTCAACTCATCTTTGTTGTATGAGCAGTTTAAACTTTCTAAAACACCAGTTTCATTTTGTCATTCCCTCATTCAAAAACACCAAATGAAAACTAGCAGAGTGAATGGTGGGAAGTAGGTTAAGGCCACATTATGGTAGCCCTTGAGAGTTGAATTTCGAGAGGAAAGTTTTTGAGGAGGGGATTAACATGATAAAAGGTGTTGTTTTACTTAGATCTTGCCACAAGCACTGAGAAGATGGATTAGAGAGGAGGGAAATGAGTCAGGGCAATCAGTTGTGTGGAGATCAAATATACTGTGCTGATAGGAGAGAAAGTCTTGTGGGGCTTGGGCCGGCCAAAAAATGCTACCATGTATAAAGAGGTTCAGAGTGTTGGTTAGTAGAATCCTGCAAATTGAGTGTACCTTGCAAGATGAGGCAGTTTAGTTAAAGTGCAGTAATTTGATTTTAGATATAAAAGCTGTATGTGAAGCACAGTTTCTGTGGTGTAATAAAGGGTTGGTTCAGTTTGGCATGTGAGACTATGCCCAGGAACATCTGGCCACTCTTTTTAAAAACCAAAACTATTAGTTAACCCCATAAAATAGATCTTTTGGCCATTTTCTCAGAATCCCATGTGAGATGAACTAGACAGAACTCTGGTTCTGCTATTTATCTGCAAGAGCCTGTGCTAAGTACCCTCTGGTCTTCCCGGAATCCCCTCCCAAGTCATCACCCTGCTATGTTCCAGAGATCGTAAGTGCTTTCTCTCTCCCCGAGTCAGAGACTTTCCACAATCCTCACTTGACATTCCAGAGAACAAAGGTTGGTAGGAGGTAATATTCAGGCTTGTCTTGTTTTATCTTACACCTGTGTAGCAAGATTGTTTCTAGGTAAGGGGTCTCTTGTTTAGAAGAAAAAATTTCTAGTCTTTCTTCCTTCCTCAGAACTAGGAAACTTGGTTTAAAGACTAAAACAGTGGGAGATAAATTTAAAAAGAAAAAAAAAGTTAAGGTAAGCGTAGAGATAGTAGGAGAACCCAAGAAGGAGGGAATAGTCACAGAATCAAATGCCTGGAAACCTAGATTTTAGCACAGCCATCAGACACTTCTGACGAAGCGTTCAACGTCAACCTAGGGAGCTGTTTGAGGGGTTTCCTGGACGTTCTAGGGACCTGGGGCAGGGGAGACACGTAAAGGGGAAGAGGGAGACGCTGCAATTTTCACTTGGGCACCCAGAACTCAAAACTAAAACATCCAAGAAAGGTGACCGCGGTCCGCAAGCCGCCGCCCACTCAGCTACAAGAGAGCGGCTGAGTTACTAGATTTTTCTCCAACAAAATTATCAGAGACTCGGGTGGTCGCTGTTTTGAAAAAAGAGTTCAGAATAAAGTTTGCAAGATGGCATGAAGGAGTGGGTAGTAGAAATTGGAAGCGAGTTCTGGTGCTATCAGGTGAGCTTCTCAGTTGCTAAGCACAGCTTCATTACACCTGCAGCCTGTGCTAATGTCTTCCCATCACCTACCTCCTAACTGTAATCTACCCTGTGTTTAAGCCCTACGTCCATTTCACTTCCTTCTTCAAGTCTTCTCTAAAGATTATAGTTTCTATTTCTTTCTCCATTCCCTGACATCTTAACTGAGTTCAGTTACAATCACACTATTTAGCATGTAATAAATAGTTCTTTCAAAAGTGTGAGCCTACTCTCCACCAGTTAGGCAGTGAAAGTCTTGATTTTGGAGACTACACTATGAACTGATGTATACTTCCAGGACAAATTCTAGGTTCATGGCCCCAGGTGGAAAGTTCTGTTAATTACTCAAAAACAACCACTTAAAAATACTGTATAAATGCTTCTATCCCAGCATGCTTTAGCTACATTTTCCAAAAAAATAGTATACATTTTAACTATATCAACAAGATCGCCCTAGTTATTCCTATAGCAGAGTTGAAAACTTACAATTTATTCAGAATTGACAAAAGGGGCAAGCCCTTACATAGAGTTCTAGCAATGAGTTCTCAAATTCGGTCTGCATTAAGTAGCGACGTTATAAGCATCCCAAATGTAAAAATGTCAAATTTCGCAAACATCTAGAAGTGGGAGTAAAATGACCATCCAACAATACAGTTTGATCATCTGTGAAATAAGGGAGTCCACCAGGGCTCCTCAATTCGTTGAGCCTCGGATTCTAAACCGGGCTTTACATCACTAGGCGCTGGTAGCCAATTGGACCGCCTGCGCGCCGTGCATCCTGGGAGCTGTAGTTTCCGGCTTCAGTCTTACGGACTACACGCTCCGCAGAGCCGCGGAGGACGGTTGCTTGGTGTTATTAGCAAGCGTGAAGTATGGCGGTGGCACGCGGCGAGGCGGCTTTACCTCCTGGAGAAGGTAAGGTGATTCCCCTCCGCTGAGTCCCACGGTTTAATCCATGAAACAATCACATAGTCGCCTGGTGGAGAGAACAAACCTGCGTTTAGGGGGGCAGCTCTGGACCAGTTTTTTTGCGGAGCCGTGGGCGTCCCCGAGCCGCGCTGCCTCTGGGAGCTGTAGTCCCGCGGTGCTGCCTAGCCCTCCGGCTTCCGGGTGAGGGCCGAGCCGGCGACTGCAACCCCCGGCGCTCCGGCCACCCGGGCTCCCGCTCTCTTGTAGCTGAGTGGGCGGCGGCTTGCGGACCGCGGTCACCTTTCTTGGATGTTTTAGCTTTGAGTTCTGGATGCCCAAGTGAAAATTGCAGCGTCTCCCTCTTCCCCTTTGCGTGTCTCCCCTGCCCCAGGTCCCTAGAACGTCCAGGAAGCCCCTCAAACAGCTCCCTAGGTTGACGTTGAACGCTTCGTCAGAAGTGTCTGATGGCTGTGCTAAAATCCGGGGATGATCCGGGGCCCGCTATTCTCCAGCTCTCGTTCTGCACACCGGGGCTGGTATCGCGTTTGGTCACTGCCCAGGGGAGTGCGGGGGTGGGTGCCGCTGAGGCCGGCAGCCCGCGGGCGTGAGCCGAGCTCCTTTATTGTGGTTACAGCTCTAAGGCTGGGCAGCAGCCCTCAGAGTGGGGGATAGGGCTGAGGGTGGAGGCCTATCTCCCCGGTTTAAGTAAGGGACTCAGTTATCTGAGGGGCCGTAACTTCTGGGGCACCGTGGGAATCGATGGTCCTAGGAGGACTATTGACCCCTTGGAATTTTGTGCACAGGTGTGCATATTTCTGGGAGAGTACACAGCTTTCACCAAATTCTCAGAGGATGCCCCCGAATACTGGAAGCCATTAAACAACGGGAAACACGTTGAAACCCTTCCGGAGAGTAATCTCGCCTAATTATTTCCCGCAGTAATCTTTATCTGGATATAAATTTGAAATTGGCAGTTTTTCTGGCCCCGCCCCCTTCAGTCAGACGCTTTTCTTGAACTGCACCTTCCTAACCCACCAAGGGAATTTACTGATAATAAGACCAGGTAGCATTTATAGAGCACTTTTTATATGAGCTACACATGTTTGGAGTGCTTTTTTCCTTTACCTTTTTTTTTTTTTTAACCATGATCTCATTTTCTCTGCAGAACCTTAGAAGTCAGGTACTATCATCATCCCCATCTTACAAAATAGAGAAGTGAGCCCAAAAGAGATCAGTAACTTGTTTAAGATAGGATTCTAAATTATTCTCTTGAGTGCTGTGTGGCAGAAATGGGACTGAGTGCTGTTCATGTGCTTTCTCTTTTCATACCCCTATCAATTTAATGAATTAGATACATTATTCCCATTTTGTACATAAAGTAACTGAATTATTTTGATTTTCAAAATAGTTTGGGCACTTCAGGATATACTTCCTGGTAGTTAGGTTCCAAGTAGGTTGATCTCTATCAAAAGATAAATCCCACTAAAAAAATACTGTCATTACTTAGACACAAAATATGGAAATAGTAGTTCATACTTAAATGTGAAGAATTCCAAAGTATTACATCATAGAAGCTTGAGTATACTACAACAAATATAGGTGGAATTTGATATTTCTGAAAAGAAGTGAATAAATTCAATCTGTAATCATTTAGAACTTGATTGCTTTAAATCTGGATACTTATGCTATAGTGTTTTCTACTTATAAATGTATAGAAATTTTATGAGTATCATTCCATCCCCCATGCTCAGCTACTGCATTTGTGTCTTCTAACAATTCCCTTCTTTTTTCAAGGATCACTGGTCAACTGGTCAGGGCAGGGGCTGCAGAAATTAAGTCCAAACTTACCTTGTGAAGCTGATATTCATACTTTGATTCTGGATAAAAATCAGATTATTAAATTGGAAAATCTTGAGAAATGCAGACAATTAATACAAGTAGGTATTGCTATCTGGGGAAATAAATATATAGGACTTTATTATTATTCAAAATAAAACAATAAAATAAATTATATTTATTTTGAATAAATATATAGGACTTTTTAGTATTATTCAAAATAAAACAATAAAATAATGTAACAGAAAGTAACTCTCTAGGCCTTGGAAACGTTAAATGTTGCCTTACATTTTTAGTTTTCTTGAAGATGAAGGCCTATGTGCTACATTTTGAGTGAACTAGAATTCTAAGAAGCATTTGTTAAAAAAGAAAACATTTTATGGTGACAAAATATCAGTGTTGGATAAAATTTTACCTCCTCATGGGGATAAAGAGTTCATTCATTAATTCAGCAAATGTTTGTGGGGCCCTGGCACTGTTGTAGATTTTAATTGAGACATTCTAAAGACCCTATTCTTATAGAACTTATATTCTCAAGGAGTTGCTGTGTTAAACATATTTTCTCTTTAGTACTTGGAGGAGGTCTGATTGCTGAGCATTATATGTATTTTCCATTGTTTAGGAACAACAACAAGCTAACAGTTACACCATAGAATATTTAGACAGCATATGTGAAAAGTTAAATTGGGGTTTGTGTATTTGAGAATGTATGGCCATATAAATGAGTTTTTTAACTACCCTAATGTGAAAGTAAAGTGTGTAATTTTTCCTAAGAATAATGATATGTTCCCTTTTCACAGTTGTCAGTGGCTAATAATCGGCTGGTGCGGATGATGGGTGTGGCCAAACTGACCCAACTCAGAGTGTTAAATTTGCCTCATAATAGCATTGGCTACGTAGAAGGACTAAAGGAACTAGTCCATTTGGAGTGGCTGAATTTGGCAGGAAATAATCTCAAGGTGAATTGTTTCTTTTTCTTTTAATAATTACGTTTTCTTTTTTTTTTAATTTATGAAAGTAGTCACTGTAAAAGGTAAATTCAAGCAGTATAGAAATAAGTAGAATAAAAAGTGAAAGTCCCGATTACGCTCCCCAGGAAAATTTCAGTTAACATAAACTGAAAAAGAAATCATTTTGAAAACAATGCAGCATATTCTATATATTATGCTAAATTGTAATAATATAATGTTAATTTTAATATTTAATAAAATATTAACAGTAAAATATATTAGAATAATTTAATAGCATATTAAATGTGAACAAAGGATCTATGTTATACTTAGAAAATTAGATAAACAGTAGAATAAAATTTTAGGAAATATATACCATGCTGAATTAAGCTTTAAGTAACTTTAATGGTATAGTGGAGAATATACTGTTTCAAAAGTAAGGAAATTTAAATTCTAGTCCTTTCATCACTTACAGGCTTAATAATTTTAGGTAAATATCTCTGTGTCTTAGTTTATTTTTTATTTTTTATTTTGTTATCATTAATCTGTAATTACATGAAGAACATTATGTTTACTAGGCTCCCCCCTTCAACAAGTCCCCCCAACACACCCCATTACAGTCACTGTCCATTAGCGTAGTACGATGCTGTAGAATCATTACTTGTCTTCACTGTGTTGCACAGTCCTCCCCATGCTCCCCACTACATGCTAATCATACATACTAATTGTAATACCCCCTTTCTTTTTCCCTGCCCTTATCCCTCTCTTCCCACCCATCCTCCCTAGTCCCTTTCCCTTTGGTAACTGTCAGTCCCTTCTTGGGTTCTGTGATTCTTCTGCTGTTTTGTTCCTTCAGTTTTTCTTTATTATTATACTCCACATATGAGTGAAGTCATTTGATTCTTGTCTTTCTCCACCTGGCTTATTTCACTGAGCATAATACCCTCTAGTTCTATCCATGTTGTTGCAAATGGTAGGATTTGTTTTCTTTTTATGGCTGAATAATATTCCATTGTGTATATGTACCACATCTTCTTTATCCATTCATCTACTGATGGNTTCTAAGAGTTTTATGGTTTCATGACTTACATTCAGGTCTTTGATCCATTTTGAATTTACTTTTGTGTATGGGGTTAGACAATGGTCCAGTTTCATTCTCTTACATGTAGCTGTCCAGTTTTGCCAGCACCATCTGTTGAAGAGACTGTCATTTCCCCATTGTATGTCCATGGTTCCTTTATTTTATATTAATTGACCATATATGTTTGGGTTAATGTCTGGAGTCTCTATTCTGTTCCACTGGTCTGTGGCTCTGTTCTTGTGCCAGTACCAAATTGTCTTGATTACTATGGCTTTGTAGTAGAGCTTGAAGTTGGGGAGTGAGATCCCCCCCACTTTATTCTTCTTCAGGATTGCTTTGGCTATTTGGGGTCTTTGGTGTTTCCATATGAATTTTTGAACTATTTGTTCCAATTCGTTGAAGAATGTTACTGGTAATTTGATGGGGATTGCATCAAATCTGTATATTGCTTTGGGCAGGATGGCCATTTTGATGATATTAATTCTTCCTAGCCATGAGCATGGGATAAGTTTCCATTTGTTAGTGTCCCCTTTAATTTCTCTTAAGAGTGTCTTGTAGTTTTCAGGGTATAGGTCTTTCACTTCTTTGGTTAGGTTTATTCCTAGGTATTTTATTCTTTTTGATGCAATTGTGAATGGAATTTTTTCCTGATTTCTCTTTCTATTGGTTCATTGTTAGTGTATAGGAAGGTCACTGATTTCTGTGTGTTAATTTTGTATCCTGCAACTTTGCTGTATTCTGATATCAGTTCTAGTAGTTTTAGAGTGGAGTCTTTAGGGTTTTTTATGTACAGTATCATGTCATGTGCAAATAGTGACAGTTTAACTTCTTCTTTACCAATTTGGATTAGTTGTATTTCTTTGTTTTGTCTAATTACCGTAGCTAGGACCTCCAGTACTCTGTTGAATAACAGTGGGGAGAGTGGGCATCCCTGTCTTGTTCCTGATCTCAGAGGAAAACTTTGTGTCTTAGTTTTTGATTTGTTAGATGAGGGGACTCAATTAAATGATATTAATAGGTGACTTATTGAGCAGTTAATTTATGTTAGTTATATTTAAGCACCTTAAATATACTAACTCATTCAATTTCATGGCGACGTATGAGGTAGGTATAGTCATTATGCCCATTAAATAGATGAGGAAACCAAAGTACAGAGATGTTAAGTAACTTGCCAAAGGTCACACAGCCAGAGTTGCAGAACCAGAATTTGAATCGAGACAGTTTGTTTCCACTCTCAACTCATGAACTCTGTGCTAGACCAGCTGTCATGTCATAATTTAGATTTCTTCAAGCTTAAATCTCTAGAATGATAAGATCCTCTACTCTTAGGGGGTTAATGAAGATGGAGGCTTGCTGCATAACAATTAATGAAATTCTTAAGCACTACTACCTCTTTCTCTTGCTAAGCCCTGCTCTTCTGCTTCCCATTAATAAGCAGAGGAGTCAGGAGACAGAGCTACAAGAACCTAGAGAGGAATTTCATGTTTTGATTTGGTGTGCATGAACTAATGGGATGCTTTTCTGGTGATAGGCCATGGAACAAATCAGTAACTGTGCAGTCCTACAGCACCTTGATTTATCAGACAATAATATACCCCAGATAGGTGATGTATCTAAATTGGTGTCACTGAAGGTAAGTGTGCTTTCTTTGTCATTTCTGAGATTTTATACTTAAGTACCAAGAGAAAGTGGTCTGATTGGCCTAAAAGCAGCCTGCTGTATAAGAAGATTGTGTTCATTTTGATAAAAATTCTGTTAGGGCACTAGAAATCAAGCGTGGAACTTTTTGTTGTCAGTTTCTATAGTTGATTTATTTTAACTAAAACTGGCCATTGTAGTCAAAGTTAATTCTTATTTACCATCCTCTGGAGACGATGGACTCTCCTTCCCGCCCAGCCAGCCAATACTAGCAGCTTTAGTCATATAGTACGCAACAGGTTGGTGAGGTCGAATGTTTTTCAACCCTTAGTATTGCTGTTTTTTTTAGCAACGGATATAAGCAAAAGGTTAATTTTGATAGGTATTTCAAAATTAACTTCACTTTAATTAAAAAAATAAACCTGTAGAATAACAGCTGGAATAACAGCTTCAAAAAACATGTAGCCTCTTTCCATGTTTTTGCTTCATTAGATATTATTTGCATCAGATGAACTAACTCATTAAGCCTCAAAAGCAGTATTATTAGCTCAACTTGCCCCACATCTTTGGCAGAAATCATTTTTAGCAACAATTATTCTAAACAATTTGGTTTAGCCAGATACTAAGAATTCAAGTGAAGTAAAGATGATTGTAGATTTGTTTTCTGGAATGGAGGCATTATTTTCTTATTGGAATCCTGGGTGTTCATAGTCTTTGGATTTATTCTTCATTGTTGCTGACTTAATTTGAGCCAGCTTCATCTGCAAGTAGCACATTCTACCTTCCTCAAGCTTTTAATTTCCGAAAGAATAAGCTGTAAATTCTCTTTTGAAAAATGTGCCTTATACATGATTGTTCCAGTGAATGTTTTCTTTCACTTTTCTCACCCTCTGTTTTGATGTTGTAAAAGGAAATGAAAAAGTATGTTGGAAATAATCCAGATTTTAGTAACTGAAATTTCACAAAATGCTAGTTGCTATAGCAGACATGTGTTCTTGGACAAGTCTTTAAACTTTATTGAGCTTAGAATGTGGATGTGACAAGAAAGTTAGAGAAGAAGACCACCTAGGACCCTTGTATAGCATTAACAGTCTTTGATTTGTGTGTGACAAGAAGTACAATAAAATAGATCTTTTTATTTTTGTATGCACCATTTTGGTTTTTTCAAAATAGACCAATTACTTTTAATCTTTTCATTTGTAATTCATCCTGTGTTTACTTTCAAGACCCTGCTTTTACATGGAAACATCATCACCTCTCTTAGAATGGCACCTGCTTATCTACCCAGAAGTCTTGCTATACTGTCTTTGGCAGAAAATGAAATCCGAGACTTAAATGAGGTAAAATTTGAGAGTATTCTCTGGGATCCAAGAAGCTGGGAAGTCCAGAAGAGACTCAGGAGAAAGTTGTGATGTCATCTTAGATTATGAGCATCTTGGAAGAAGCTGCCATCAGGGTGAAATATTTTGGCTGTAGATGATCATTAATTTTCTTTCTTAATGTCTTTTTTTAATGTCAGTGGGTCACTAAGGCTTAATTTCATTTGTAATACTGAGATGATCATACCATTTGCAAGTGATTGGTGGTGGAAGGATATCTACATTAAAGGGGTTAATAACGCACGCTGTGCACCTTCTCTGGCTGCTGTCATGTTTTCAAAGTTGGATTCTCCACTAGGAGACAGTGCTGATGCTTTCTATGGGGCTTTGTGCAACAAGGACAGATGGCCATATTGTTGGAAGTTTGGAAGTCAGTGGATAAGAGGGCTACTTGTCACTTTTCAGAACAAGAGGGTAATTGTTACCTTCTCAAACTGCCAAAGATGTGTGTAATCAGCAGAAGCCCTGTGCTTGATACAGAATAGTCCATTTCATTCAACAAAGATATCCTCTGTTCCAGATCTCTTTTTTGGCATCCTTAACTGAATTGGAACAGTTGTCGATTATGAACAATCCTTGTGTGATGGCAACACCTTCCATTCCAGGGTTTGACTATCGGCCATATATCGTCAGCTGGTGCTTAAACCTCAGAGTCCTAGATGGATACGTGATTTCTCAGAAGGAAAGGTGAACATGACTTTTTTTTTTTTTAATTTATTCTGTTTATAAGGTTAGTACCACCATCAAACAGTAATGTGGACTGCTGTCACTAGAGTAAGCAGGAGATACAGCTACAGATTTTTTTACATTATAATAAACATTGACAAATTGCTTTCCAGAAAGTTCTTTCATAGACACCTCTGGAGAAATACCTTTGTCCTAGGTATCTCTGGGTTTACATATGTATCAACACTACTCTGATAAATAGTTCAGAATAGTGGTTCCTGTCCATTTCAAGGATAGGAGCTATTTTTTTTTTTGTTATCATTAATCTACAATTACATGAAGAACATTATGTTTACTAGGCTCTCCCCTACCCCAAGTCTCCCCCACAAATCTCATTATACTCACTGTCCATCAGCATAGTAAGATGTTACAGAATCACTACTTGTCTTCTCTGTGTTGCACAGCCCTCCCCGTTCCCCCACCCCCCACATTATACATGCTAATCATTATACCCCCTTTCTTCTTCCCCACCCTTATCCCTCCCTATCCTCCCATTCTCCCCAGTCTCTTTCCCTTTGGTAACTGTTAGTCCATTCTTGGGTTCTGTGATTCTGCTGCTGTTTTGTTCCTTCAGTTTTTCTTTTGTTCCTATACTCCACAGATGAGTGAAATTATTTGGTGTCTGTCTTTCTCCGCTTGGCTTATTTCACTGAGCATAATACCCTCTAGCTCCATCCATGTTGTTGCAAATGGTAGGATTTGTTTTCTTCTTAGAACATGATTTCTTTAACATCACATTTATCACAGAAGTTATTGAAAATACCATTTCTAGCTTACTACAGATGAACAAACTGAATATTTATTAAACTTGCATTTAGAAATTAAGATCATTAGTTCAATCATAGACAGACTATGTGCTGATTATTTGGGATTTTCTATCCTTTCTAAGAAAGGATAAGAAATAAATATCATCCCCAGAGTTTGGGGCTAGTGAATTTAACTTTGTGCCTAATAAACAACAAGTGATATTTTAAAGTTCTTCTGTTGATCAGTTGTTTGCAGCTTGGAGCACTTCTATGTAGAAATTAGGTTACGGATGCTGTCAAGAGTCTCAGGTCAATTCCACAAAAGCTTGAAATCCATCATATGTGTGAGCGCAGTATTGCTAATACCTTAGGACCCAACTACCCTGTATAACAATGACTCTGTGAATATACTTGCAGTGTTTCAGTTAGGTAGAAGACATGCTGATTGGTCCTCCCCTTCTACCTGTGAAGCAGCAGAAGTGGGTACTCCCCCATCTCTGTATCAGTGATGGTTTTTGTGGCTTGGAACTGGGACCCCTGAGTAATGGGGTCTTCTGGACACTGGAACATGATCAGTGGAATCAGAACTTTAGGGGAGGTGTGGAACTAGAATGTGGATAAGAGGGAATGGAGTTAGAGGGGATAGTGAGAATTAAGATGAGTCTGTTCTCTTCACTATGCCTCATTGCACTTCTCTCAATGCATACGTCATGCATTCATGCACTCAACACGTACATTCTTCCTCGCCCCTTTTCTCCTTTCCTAGAGGCTGGTAGTAGTCATTTGAGAGGTTCCTGTTTGGAGGATGAATGGTAGATTACTGCAGAGTTTTCTTTTTTCTATCCTGTTGTTCCGTCTAGTTGCTGAGTAGGGAGAGGGGTAGTGAGGAATGGTTGCATAGTGGGGGTGCTAGTGCAGGTGAGGGACAGATGTCAGGTCTAGTTTGTCATTTTCCCTTTTTCTTGCAGTGAGGGTTGCTATATATTCAGATACAACTTTGTTTCAAACTATGCATAGTTCTAAAGCTGTAATATGGGTTTACTTGGATTATCTTCCCTGGATCTTCCTTCAAGTGAAGGAAAGAAATTGTTAGATTTTTCTGTGGAAGTAGGACTAGCAACATTTTCATACATAGAAGGCAGCAGGTGAGATGGGCAGAGATGGTGTGAAGGACAGATAAAACCTGGTTAGTAGAGATAAGAAAAGGCTTCAGCTCTTCCCTGCCACCCATTAGCTGTGTGCTTGGGCAAGTTACCTTAGTGTCTGAGCCTTAGTTTTCTCATCTGGAATGTGGGTAATACCACCTAGCTTTCAAGGATGTTAGGAGGATTAAGGATGATGTAGATAGCAATACTGGTGATGTGGTAGGTGCTTAATAAACTATAATTATCACCATTACTTAAGGATAGGGACTAGGGATTGAGGAGTTTTGTAGAAACTAAAGTATTAAAAAGCAGGAAATATTTGTTGAATAGATGAATCATAATGCAAAGTCTATTTCTACTGTGTAAATCGTTTTAATTCAAGTGACTTTAAGGTGAATTTGGAATTCTTTGAACTTTATAATGTTCTGCAAATGTTTAAAATTCAGAGACTTTAGGTAGTAGAAGAGTGGGCTTCCCCTTGGGGTAGTTTCTCTCTCTGGGAGGTTGCCCTGCACTAATTAAGTACGGGAGGAAGCCTTTTCTCAGATTGTTTTTCCCCACACTTAAAAAAAGAGTGCAAAGTATCACATAATTCAGATACACTTTAAAATTGTACTAAAAAAATGCCCATATCACCACTGAGATAAGAATAAAACACAGCCAGCACTCCAGAGATTTTCTGTAACCCACTCCCATCATCATTCCCTTCCCCACTAGAGATAACCACTGTATTGATTTTTTTAGTAATTCAGAAAGATTCATTTTTTTCCTGGTGGTTATGGAGTCTTCAAAGCAACCAGCTCCCACCAAAGTAGCTAAAATTAAAAGGACAGATGATACTGAGTGTCAGTGAGTATATGGAGCAATTGGAACTCTCATACACTGAGGGGTATGAATGGTGCAACCACTGAAAAACTGGCAGTATTTGCCAAAGCTAAATGTACAAATATCCCATGATACAACAATTTGACGTCTGCTGTATACCCTACAGAAATAGGTGCTTATGTCTCCTAAAAGACATGTACAAACTTGTTCATAGTAGCTCCAGCATTTGGGAGCTATTTGGGAAACAACCCAAATGTCAGTCCATAGAAAACTAGGTTAATCGAGTTACAGTTGAACTAAGGAGCCTAGATTATTGTTGATGCTGTATACTGGAGAGAAAAATTACCGCTACAGTTGATACCAGAGACAACTCTGTCATCTGAACAGTGCTCCCATGTTTTAAACAACGCTGGAAGTATCCTGTTAAGGAGGGAGGAGTTACCCTAAGGGAGAGCTGTTATCTTAAAAATTGATGGGCATCCTGACCAGCATTCAAAACATTTTCCTGGTCATATTGGGAACTGCCCTACAGGACAGGAAGGAATTTCCAGTTTTTTTTATCTACCCAGCCTAACTGCTATTTGCTAAGAACATCAAGGTTAAAATTGTTCTCTATTCTGAAAAAGTCCCAGGTTCTCTGATGACTTCAGGGAACCAGAACTTGAGTGTGTGTATCACTGAGAAGTGTATTTGGAAGAGCCCCCACCCCTGTGGTGCTTGAGCTGAGCGCCTTCTCAGCGAGAACACCTGTGCAAACCCACCAGCACCTTTGTGTGCACCTCAGTAGTTAGGGTTCATCCTGAATTTGTTTCAGTCTCTGTTTTACTATTTACAGGACCTAGTACCAAACTATACTCTGTTGCTTAGAGATCAGAACTTAGTTAGGGAGCAGTACATTGCAGATGTTTCTTTTTTGACAGGACATTTAAAATATACACAGAAATGGGACGAGTAACATCGTGAACACCTCCACACCCACCATGCACCTTCAGCAATTACCAGCATTTTGCCAATCTTGTTTCATCTGTCTCTTGTTTGTTGGAGTATTTTAAAAGCAAATACCAGGTGTTATTTCATCCAATACTCCTGTTTTTTGTTGTTGTTCTGTAGGAGAAAGAGAAGATTGTTTTAAGTTTTCTCTCTTGACAGTTCCTATTCCTGTTACATTGTGTAAACCATTTCTTCCATTTCCAGAGAATAATTGTATTCCATTGATTTCAATTTAGTATGTTAGAGCTGAGTGAGTTCTTAATTTTGTTTTCCTCTGAATTGGCAATGGTCTTATAATTGGCAGGGAAATTTTATACCTAGGTGAATATTTTATGAATTAGTAAACTTCTGTAATGGTATGTTTATTGATGAATGTGGGGCAAAAGCAGAAAACCAGATCCTAAGAGAAATTAATGCTCCACAGTTTGTGGTTTTCCTCACACTCTTAATCACACACTTCAACTGTGGAATACTGAAGCCTGAGCCACATTCTCTATCCTCTTACTTTCATTTCTTCCTCCCAAACTACAAACCATGTATAACCTAGAAATGTTGCTTGTTAGCTAATATTAAAATTGGTGTTTGGACTCTGGTCTTATTTTTTTTGAACAGCTTTTCAGTAAGCCATTTGCTTGGCAGAAGAACTTATGGAAACTTAGAGCAGATTTCATGAAGATTCTGAATGATCTTTATTCCACAGGAATGTATTCAAGGAGGAAATGCTTCTAATAGTTTTTATTAACTAATAAAATATTATTTATTTTTGCTTTCTTTTCTCTCTCTCTTCTTTTTTTTTTTGGTTGTTGCTGAAAAAATCAGATTATTTGTCCTGTAGAGTTTGCTACTGTGCCTATTTTGGTCATTACATCCCTTTGTTCTTTGATATGCTCCCTTTTCTTCTGTATTTCCTGTAAATTGATTGTGACACTTGAATCAGATTCAGGCTTTTTTGGGGGAGGACTCCTTTATGGGTTCTATTGAGAGGCACACAGTGTCTAGTTGTCTCTTTTGTAATTTGGTAGTACTATTAGTGTAACCCTGTGGAAGTGTCCCTAAGCAAGAAAGGACGTTTAAAACATTTTGAGTAAAAGGAGCAAATCAGAATGAAAGATTTCTAAAAACTTAAGTGAATTTATTCATGAAAAACATCCAAAAATGCTACAGGAAAATTAAGAATGTATCTTGTCTATTTGAGTGCTATCTCCTCTTCTTTATGCCTCCCAATTCCAGTTTGAAAGCTGAGTGGCTCTATAGTCAAGGCAAGGGGAGAGCCTATCGGCCTGGCCAGCACATCCAGCTTGTCCAATATCTGGCTACAGTCTGTCCTCTTACTTCTACACTGGGTCTCCAAACCGCAGAGGATGCTAAGCTAGAGAAGATTCTGAGCAAGCAGAGGTAAGCCCATTGATGCGTAGCCACTGATGAGTTCACAAGTGAAAATACTTCTAAGTCTTTCCTGCTGATTCATAGGACTGAGGCAAGCACTGTGGCCCACGTTTCTGGGCATTCCAGCTGCTGTCGCTGCTGCAGTCCTGCAGAGGAACTGAGCCATGCAGTGTAGTCCCGGCTGCTTCACAGCAACTGCCTTGCTAATCATTTCTTGAGTAGAGACAACCTAGCAGTATAAGAGAATGACATTTAAAAAAAAATGTATTTGTCTTTTAATGTAATGGGTTTCATGTGGTTTTTTAATTACATTAAGAAGTATAGCTAGAAACATTTAGTTGTCACTTTTATCAGCGATCCTGCCTTGGAATATTTGTGCATGTATATGCATATAAGGGTATCTGTGTAATTTAAAAATACATTTGTTCTTCTCATTTTCTCTCCAGTGTTCCCATAAATGAGACTTTGTAATTTGGTGGTGGTTAAAGGTATCTACTTTGAAAACTTGTAAACTTCTTTTTGGACAGTGTTACCTAGGAAGCAGAAAAGCTTTCTGTTTTGGTTTGTGTTAAATTATAACCCATGTTATTAATTTTTAGGTTTCACCAGAGGCAGCTGATGAACCAAAGTCAAAATGAAGACTTGTTTTCTCTTGCTGATATTGAAACGACGGCCCCCCTTGTACCTGAGCATTCAAGCCCTATTCAGGATTGCCAGATAGTCCAAGAAAGTGGTAGGACTTAATGACATCTGATGCTTTTCCAATAAGTTGTTTGATCTGTTGGGTATTATAAAACAGGAAAAAGTACATATTTTCAGAGTTTTTGTTTATTAACTTAAGTGAACATGTGGATCTTATATTTTATATATATGTATATACACAGACACACATATAGAACTATTACATTGTTAATATTCAGAAACCTTCAGAGGACTGCTTTTTGTGTTTACCTGATACCTTATTCTTATGATTATTACAAGAATTCATTTCCTTAAAAATATTTGGTTTGATGTTTTAGGCATATTGAAGGCATTTTATTGCATTTTACTATATCTCAGAGATTAGATTTCATGAAAAGGATGCAACTAAAAAAAAAATACCTCTTTATGTATTTAGTGGTTTAAATGATGTTTTGTTGATTCTTCCAGAACCTGTCATCCAGGTCAATTCTTGGGTTGGGATAAGCAGTAATGATGATCACTTATATGCAAAGAATAACTTTCCCGCCTCTGTACACACTACACGATATTCTCAAAATGACCTGCACCTGGAAGATATACAGACAGATGAGGACAAGTTAAATTGTAGTCTTCTCTCTTCAGAGTCCACTTTCATGCCAGTTGCATCAGGACTCTCTCCGGTATCACCTACTGTTGAGCTGAGGCTGCAGGGCATTAACTTGGGCCTGGAAGGTGATGGTGTTGCAGATGAATCTGTGAAAGGGCTGGAAAACCAGGACTTTGATAAGGAAGAGAAGGCTTTTGGGACTGCAAAAGAGAATTCTGTTCACATGATAAAAAGTGCGATCAATACAGAGGTAAAGGAAAAAGATGGGCTATTACCTTGTGCTGAGCCAGTAGGAACCAGTGCTGTTTTGAAGGATGACACCCACGGTCTTACATCTTTTCCTGAGTCAGCTGGACACTGTGTCTTCCATACGCAGCCAGACAGTGATGAAACCATTTCTCAAACAGCTTCAGATAAACTGCCCTGCAGGGTTTTAACCCAGAGATCCATTGCTTTGGGACAAGATAAAGTTACCCTTCAGAAATTGAATGAAGCAGCCACCAAGCTTCAGGCCTGTTGGCGGGGCTTTTATGCCAGAAACTACAACCCCCAAGCTAAAGATGTGCGTTATGAAATCCGGCTTCGCAGAATGCAGGAGCACATTGTTTGCCTAACTGATGAGATGAGGAGGTAGGTCAAAAGTCCTGTTTATTGGCTGTTTTGTTGGTTTTGTTATTGAGTCCAAGATCGGGCCACTGTCTGCATGATGTGTCAGTTAGCTGAGAGACAAAGTGTTGAGGCAAGGAAAGCGACTTTTTGTGGAAAGCCAGCAGATGGAGCAGATGGCGGGCTAATGTCCTAAAGTAGCATCTTAACTCAGGGTTGACTGCACGCTTCTTTTATGCTAGGGAAGGGGGTAGCAGGAAGGGAGCAGGTTAGGGGGTGACTGAAGGCTGCAGACATCTGGGCACCAGCGAAGATCTAAAGGGAGCTGAGAAACTGTGTCCTTGGTTAGTTGACTCTCAGTGACCGAGGTCTGGTCATGGTGTTCCTAAAACTCTTTGACAGGGCAGTCATAATTTCCATACATATTTCCCTATCTCCTGGAGGAGGCAAGCTTTGGATAAGGAGCTATTTTCAGAAATCCCAAAGTGTAAGCAAAATTCCTTTTAATTATCAACATGCAGGGCTACAAGGCTCAGGGTTGAGCAGAAGCCCTGTCCTTTTGTTTTCCTTTTGGCCCAAAGGTTCAGGCAGCAAAGGATAGCATGGAGGCAGAGATGCCAAGGTTTGTCTGTTACAGTTGGAGAGTGTCAAATTCTTAGAGTTGATTCAGAACACTAAGTCTTTGCTGGTGTGGCCAGAACTGTTTTCATGTCATGTTGCCACTCCTGATTTACTTATTTCCTACAGTATATTGAAAGCACTATGCATCTCCATCTCTAGCACAGCAGTCAGTACACAGGTACAGGAGAGCAATAACTGTTGAGTGAATGCATGCCTCCTAGATGTCTACAGACCTAAACATAAAAATGTACAGGAAAATGTAGAAAAACTAAGTATAAAAATGAGAAGATGAGAGAGTCTACCTAAGAACTCAATAGGTGACATAAATCTTAAAGAAAATAGTAGGGATTTAAAAGGGGTTGAATTTCTGAGGCAATAGTAGGAATTATTCCTTAATTCCATAGTCCCCATGTTTTACTGGCTGCCAACCCACGAAAATTAGGATTTCATGAATTTATTTTGAGTATTAGTATTACAACTAGCAATATTAATATTAGGTGGAAAAGGAGGAAGCAGCAAAAGACACTGAGAAGGGACTGCCAAAGTTGTAGAATACTAAGAGTTTGTGTCCCAGCTCCAAAGGGAAATGATTCAGGAGAGAAGACAGGTACCATAAGGAGGGCAAAGAACTGTGCATTCTGTTTAGAAGCTGGAGATTATTGGTAAATATGTTGGCGACCCCAGAGACTATCCTTAGGTTTATTTGCTAAAGAACTCACAGAACTCAGGAAAGCTATTCTGCTCACGATTGTGGTTTATCACAGTGAAAGGATACAGCTTAAAGTAAGCAAAGAAAAAAGGCACACAGGGCAGAGTCCAGAAGAAATCAGGTACAAGCTTCTAGTTGTTTTCTTCCAGTGGAGTTGTACATACAGGGCTTGATTCTCCCAGCAACAATGTGTGACAACACATATGAAGTATTGCCAACTAGGAAAGCTCCTGGAAGCCTTGACATCCAGGGTTTTTAGTTGGGGGTCAGTCATGGAGGCATTGAGTGCCAGTGTGACTGATCTTTGCTCAGATCAGCCCCCAACATTTGAAAATGAGGGGGTAAGGGTGTGGGAGGTTTAAGGAGAGAGATGTGGGATATTCCTCTTAAAAGTGAATTTATAAAGAAAATGGAGGAGGGTTGCTGGACAGTGTGAAAAATGACATGCAAAATGCAAAATGAAAGGTGAGTTTGTAAGATTTTTCATCAGCACATCTCAGCTGATCTGTTCTTGGTTAATTTGGGTCAGCCAGGAGTGGGGTTTTTTTCCAGGTGAATGTGGTATGGAGAAAGAGAAGGGCAAGAGAGCTGCAGATGTCTGGAAGGGGATGATTATAATGATGGATCTTGGAATTAAAAGAAGGTAAAAGGAAAGGAAGGAGGGGAAGGACCCACTCGCCTGGAGGTCTAGATGAAGGTTGGCTGTCTGGATTGTGGAAGTGTGTGCAAGTACAGGGAGCTGCGCAGCCAGGTGCTGGTTTGTGTGGAGGCTGGAAGTCATTTCTGAAGATGATATAGTCAAAATGATTGGGTCTGAGTGAAACTATGAGACTGAGTGACAGTGGGGTGGGTCCTTGTTAGATAGAGCATCCATGAGAATGTGTAGGCCTCCAGAAACGATGGCAGGAATGGAGCAGAGAGGACTGGTGCTGAGAGTCAGTGAATGGAGACAGGTAATGACAGGCCAGTACCTGAAAATAAGTTTGGGGAAATTTTCCTAGGAAGGCAAGAGTTCAGGTAGGAAGGTACAGAAACATTCGTAAACAATAGTGAGAAGCAGTCTTCTGACCCTAACGATGAGTGAAAAAAGTAGCTTCCACTTGAGAGGGCTACCATGCCCTGAGAAGAGGGTCTGATTTGGTCAGGGAGAAGTTTACAGAAGAGGTTGGGTGCATAGAGTAGTTTTCACATTATAATTCAGGAGTTCCAGATGGTAGAGAAGAGCCTGGAGGGCTAGAGAAAGTGGGAAATTGGGTCAGAGGTTCAGAACAAAATGGGAGATTAAATAGACAACTAGAGGACCCTTAAGTTTGCAATGAGCATAAGTATGGACAGGGTGGCAGTGAGCCCAGTGTAATACTTCAGTGAAGGAGGGCAGGGTTTGGATGGGGAAGTCTGTTGATGTAGCAAGGAGTCTGTCAGGGACTGAGGCAAACGGGATTGAAGTTTGGGGTTAGTTCTGCTAGTCTCTTAAGAGAGGGTATTTGAAGCTGAGATTCTAATTCTTAACTGTTTTGGAGTCTTTGAGTAATCAACTACTCTTTTCTGCAGCTCCTGTGCCTTTGGTGTGTTTGACTGGGAAATTGAGGCCAGAGAAAGAGCTATTTAATCTTTTTATTTTTCATCACTGGCAATATTTTGTAGAATCAATGTAATCTAGATTTTGGTCATCTTGTTTGATTTCTATGTGGAGTCATAGTTTAGAACTTAAGTTTCAGCTTAGTATTCTAAAAAATAAAAAGGACTATTATTAATCTCTTTTCCAATGCATGTATTGGTCAGTTGTAACAGGAAGTGCGTGTCAAAGCACCCTTCCTTGTGTCAGTAATGGATTTTGCATTATTGTAGATTGAGAAAAGAAAGAGATGAAGAACGTATTAAAAAATTTGTACAAGAGGAGGCTGTCAGATTCCTTTGGAACCAGGTAAATTTTTTCCTGCTGATTTTCTCAATATGTGAACAAAGAAAAATTCTAGGTTTATTGAGATAATAATAGAGCAGTCAGACATATTAAGCACCTTTCAAGGTTAGGGATGTGGTTTGGGTTCTTTGCCATTAACTAGGACAGTGAATTTTGGTACATCTTATTTAATCTAAAGAAAAATATTTTCATAATTTTTACCAGAAATATAAAAAATATAAAGATGAAGAAAAGTAACTGAATTGGCAGATGTTGTTATAACTTTCTAATAGATACAAAAAAACCAGTTTGAAGTTTTATATAACTCTCTAGTTTTATCTCTTGGGAATACGTGAATGAACAGTAAGATGGTGTATGATGGCTTCAGTATGTAACTCCTGAGAAGTACCTGTGACTTCTTGGGAGAGAGAATTTGACTCCTGTAAAACACACTTTAGGGACAGTTTAGACAATCAGCTTTACTGTTATATATTCCATCAAATGTTTCTTTGTAATTCCTTGGAAATATTTTATAAAAGAAATTTGTTATAATAGGATTTTACTTACAAAATTAAAAAATAATCCTTGACTTTTAAGGTTTTATAATTACAAAAAGTAGGGGAGTGGTTAAATAAATTACAGAGGAATAACACTGTGTAATACTATGGAACAGTTCAAAAGAATAGGGTAATAGTTTGCACTGACAGGGAAATCGCTCCAAAATGACATTGTTCAGTGATAAACAGCAAGTTGAAGAACTTAGGGTTTCTTGGTTTTAAAAACTCCCTTTATATTTAAAAATGGGAGTAAAAGGTCTGGAAGGACAAGTATCAAACTGCTGTCAGTGATTATCTTGAAGGGTGGTCAAAGGGAGGACTAAAAAATTGTATGGCCTTGCTTTTTGCAGATTTTACAGTAAAATTTTGTGATTTTGGTCATACTTATAAAATGTAAAGGTCATATTATCAAGAACTGAGGATATTTCTAGGTATTTTAGGGTTGTATATACTATGTTGTTAGATAATTTTAAAACTATTCTCCCAAATGCATATCTAAAATAACTTATATAGAATCTATTTATATTAATAGGTTCTCATCTGCCTTATTAAATGGACCTTAGTGTATGTTGAGTGCATTATTGACCCCTTAGTCAGCTAGACATCTGCTGTTGTGCTCTGATTGCTTTTCCAGAAGCAGCAAGAGAGGTGCTTAGGCCTATAGCTACTCTCCTGCTGAGGATCTTTAGTGACTAAGGACGTGGGCCACTTGTGCCAGCCTGGTTTGGCTGCAGGTGTTATGGAAAGAGTAAGAGAGTCTGACTGTTTCTAATTCTAGGTCTGCCATCTGCCATTTATCAAATTCCTGAATGTTGGAAGAAAACTCAAAGGACAGTTGTAACACAGGTATCATTTTTATTTTATAATAAAGCTGTGGCCTTTGGTTTATAGGTAAGGTCTCTACAAGCTTGGCAACAGATGGTGGACCAGCAGCTAAGTTCCTGGCATTCTGATGTTCCTCCTGTGTCAAGTACTCTGATGCCATCTAAACCTCCATTCTTCACCCAAAGTCTGGAACCCCCTTTGAATCAAAACTCTTGGTTCATTGCTTCTGACGAAGCTCCTCGAGAGAAATCTTTACCAGAATTTCCAGACTCTGGTTTTCATTCCTCCCTAACAGAACAAGTTCACTATTTGCAGGATTCTTTGGATTTTGAAAAAAGTTCCACAGAAGTCAGTGAAAGTTCTGTGACGGGGAATTCCATTGACACAGTGAAATGTGGCAAAGAGTCAGATGTAGAGGATGTTAGTGAAGACCATGATGAATGGAGTAAAGGAAGTTCAAACAATGAGCAGGATAATAGTCTGCTTGAACAATATTTAACTTCAGTTCAACAGCTAGAAGATGCTGATGAGGGAACAAACTCTGATGAAGGTGCAGGTAATAATAAGCTTCACACAGCTCATTCCCCCGAAAAGTTAGATGCCCCGTCTGACGGTGCTTCTGTAGATAATACTCACGGCCTGTGTCCTGCTTTGCAAAAGGAAATGAGCCAGACACCAGATAATTGTAAATTAAATGCAGAAGTTCAAGGGCAGCAGTCAGAATGCGATTCTACATTTCAGGTATTACATGTTGGGATTACTGTGTAGCATGTCTGGTTGCTTGGGAAGCAGAAATCCGCTTAATTGTTTTAGGGTATTTTCAGTTGCCTCTTTTTTTTTTTGAAGGGGAATGTTGCCCCCGTTTTGTTACTGGTTGTATAGAATTTGTATTTTTCTCTCATATTTTCTGTGTTCTAGATACTGAGCCGAATCTTGATTTTGATTTTGTTAGCTTTTTATTAGCTCTAAATAAACACTATTATATGTTAATATTGATAAACAATATAAAAAAATATTGACATACACTTTATTTCTTAACAACTGAATGGCATCAGCAGTGTTCCTGTTTTCTTATGTACTCATTTCCTTTCAAAAATAAACTAGACTGTCTTAAAGGAGATAGAAATTTTACCTTAAAGATATAAATAAGAACATTTTTATTCTTCTGTATGTAAGGAAATTGATTATATAGTGAAGAATGCAATTTATTAACTTGAATATAAATGATACATGTGGAGATTGTGAACTAATGACGTTTTCCAGTCTCTTTGGAGTAAGAACGTGTTTTGTTTTGTTTTTTTTAGCCTTTTTTCCCTCCCTTATGAGTCAAAGCCTTATAAGCAAATAGGGAGAAAAGGTAAGATTGGAGGAATTTTCAGTGGGATGATTGTCTCCCAGAAAACTTTAGTTAATGTTATGTATCTGTTTTAATATATGAAGCAGTGTTCCATCCAGAATTAAAATCAAGCATATTTTAAGAGGCAACACAAGAATATTTTTCTTAGATAAGAAAAAAGCAGACACTAGGCTCCATTCACTTGGAATAATGTCACAGCAAACATTTATCTTTTCATTTAGTGCTTTTTCACCCCACAGATAAGCATTTATGTTCCAATATTATCAGAAATTAATTCATGTTCATCTTCTCTGTTCCTATATTTTATGTTTACTTATGTATTTCAGCAGAAGGTCCATGGCCATTTACTTCACTTTTTGACCTCTGCTTCATAGTGAAGAACATTGAAAGTAATAGTAGTGGTGGAATATGAATGACTTTCTTTTTAAAGGCCTATTTTCTTTCTAAATCTCTGAAAAAGTGTCACCCTTGGAAGACAAATTTAATGCTGGTTAAGAAAAAAATGAACACTCATTTCTTTACTTGTTAAAAAGAATATGTAACTTCAGGAAGAAATGATAATACTCTGTTTGAATGTTACAGATAGATCAGTTCACAAATGAAGGATAATTTTTGGAAGCTTGATATTTTAATCTTTGAGAATGTTCTAATATCATTGAACATCACATATCTGATTTCCCCCTATCTATGGACTGACAGCTATTTAAAACAATGGTGATATTTAAGTGTTCTTGACATTTAGGTGCTAAACATCCATTACTCTGTTACAGTCACTAGGTCCCCTTCTTTGAAGTTATGTAAAATAAAAACTTACAAGAGTAAAGTCAGGGATCACATGTTATATATTGTTGATAGTCAGAAACATTTCTTCAGTATGGGTAAGATATTTTTTTCTCCCTTTATAAATATGCAGCACTCAGGTTGAGAAGATCTGGGTTTCATTCTCAGAAATCCAGAGTCTCTTGAAAAGGAAATACTTTCTGTCTCTTATAAATGAAACAGCAGTCTTGCATTCAAAAGGCTTTTCTCTCGTAAAGCAGATGTAAGGTTGAATGTATGTTAAATAAAAATAGAATTTTTTTTACTTTTTGAATAATACTAATTATCTTTTATGAATGATTTTGAATTTCTTCTTAGACATACCCTATTTTTCTATTTTACAGTTAAGTGCCTAATTTGCTGCCCTTAGTTAGACAAAGAAAGAACAGCCTATACTGCACTGTTACCAAAGTGCAGCTTCATTAACTTCTCATAGAAGTCGCTGAAATGTCATGGTTCAGTGTTTTCTAGGTAGGTGTCTGTTTTTAAAGAAATGGCAAAACACAACTAAATTCACTTGAACATCAGCATTTCTCAGCAAGATTACCTTTTTTCTTTAACCTTTTCTCGTTTTTCTGGCCCATAAATAGTATTCAGCATACTTTTATTTTTAAATTGATGGAATATGATAATGGTTAATATTCTGTCCTTCATTCTGTTTAACTTTACTGATGTTTGGAAGTGCAAGAATGTAAAGTAGCCCCTTACCTTTACTATACAGATTATCTTGAGTGTGGATAGAATTAAAATTATATAAATTAGAGTGTAGGAAAGTCTGTGGCATAGACTAATATACTTTATTTAGTAGGTTTACAGTGTAATTTAAAATAATTTATTACAACTAAAATATTTGGTTTCTGTGCTACTCATTGGTCTGGTAGAAGAGGAAATAGGTTTAGTAAAGTTTGGGAAGTTGTCTTTCACATGATCTTTGTGTTTTTTCCTAACAGGAAAGCTAGATACTAGATATTCATGCAGATGCACAATTCATACCACATAAAAATTGGAAAAGGAAGCTTAGAGATTATTCTAAGATGAGACTGAGGCACAAAGAAGTTAAATGACTTGTCCGATGTTAGAGCTAATTAATAGTAAATAATTATTATTTTTACATTTAGTGAGTCAGGTAAGAGTGTCTGCATATTTTTCATTCTTTTTGAAAGGGAAAAAAACTAAGAGAGCTAGAACTCTACTACTCAAAGCAAAGTAGCTTGTAGAAAACTGATTTGTTCAGAACTGAATTTTCTCTAAGAAATGTGATTTGATTAAAATGGTTTTCAAAGAGTGTTAGTAGAAATGAAAATTTTAAAAGAATAACTGTTAGGTTCCATTTATTGGTGACAAGAAGTGTAACAGATTGCCAAGATATATAAAATTTTCTAGTGAAATGCTGAATTTGATTATATTTCATCTTCAGTTTTATAGAACAACAGATGTAAAGTTTTACCTCCCCAGTGCGTAGAAAAGTCCAATTGTGACAGTTGATACATACACAATATAGTTTGGTTTTATAAGCTTAATTATAATTATAAAAGTACTCATAATATGCATGTTTTAGGAAAATACATAACCCACATAATTGTTTGTATATATGAAATAACTTTTTTGAATAATGTGGGTACCATTCTTGAGTGTGGATTTTTCTTTTGGATTATTTATGCAAACACCATAATATGTATTTTCCTCTTACCTAGTTAAGTCTAGTCCCATTTTTTTATAAGTATTTTCAAAAACAATATGGACTTAAGATACTATTCTTTCTTGCTACTTTTTTTCATGTAGATTCTTTTAATTGGATTTATAAAAATATATAAAATATAAATTTTTTTTTTCTGGAGAAATAAGATATAGTAAAAGGGAAAATATAAAATGACTGTGATTGATTTCCCATTTGTGAATGAATATGAAAAGAAAAAGGGACTTCATTGTTAATGTATACTTTTATTTTGCCATGTACCTTATTAAGGGATATTCTAAACATTTTTGTGATACTACTTTCACTGATCAAACCTATTGTGCCATATTAAAATTGAAAGTCAAGTAAACAAAGTAGTCCTCACAGCTTTGGAGAGAAACAGATAATTGTCTTTTTAAAATGAGGTGCCTTTTATTTGTGAATGAGTAAAAATTGTACTAAATTTAATTCCTTAATTGATTTTAGTGGATGGCAAGAATCACTCTGTAGTGACTTTGTTCACTTTCTAATTAAATTTCTTTGAATGTTTTGTAATAATTCTAATGTTGCCAATAAAAGATTAAAAATAATTTGATTTTGGACAATTTTTAGGTTTCTCCTTAATTTTATTTTGAAATAGATTATTTAAAGTGGTTGTAGTCTGTTTTAAGATGGCTTGATATTTTATATTGTAACCTGTTTAATTTGTATTTGAGTTTCTATTTTTAATTCTAAATAAAAAGTTTGTACATTTGAGTGATTCATCTGTTTACTATAGTGATTAATAGTACTGGTTGTTACTCATTTTGCTGGTAATTAATGGATAATTAAAATTCAGAACAAATTGCAGATAGAATTTTACTAAGGCAAGTCCAGGCTATTGTTGTTACATAAGTGAATTTACAATAAAACAGTCCTAGTATTATGAAAATGGATATGAAATGAAAGAAATGCTAATTTAGTTTTATTTGGTGTAAATTTCATTGCTTCCAGAGTAGTCAGTGGAATATGTCTCAGTAGATATTATCCCTCAAAGAGCACAGATGACACTGTCAGATGGTATTGAAACACTGGGTATGAAAGTGTTAGGGAGCAAGCGAGTAAGTAGAGTACAAGCCTTTCTCATTTAACATAATTAGGACCAGTAGTTGGTTGGTGTTATGGACTGAAGTGTATCACCCTCCCCAAATTCATATGTTGAAGCCCTAATTCCCAGGTGACTGTATGTAGAGATAAGGACTTTAAGGAGGCAATTAAGGTTAAATGAAGTCCTAAGAATGGTGATAACCCAAAAGGACTGGTGTCCTGCAAGAAAAGGAAGAGACACAAAGAGATTGTCCATGCCCAGAGAAAAGGCCATCTGAGGACACAGAAGGTAGTCATCTGCAACCTGGGAACAGAGGTCTCACCAGCCCTGCTGGCTCTTGATCTTGGACTTCTAGTCTCAAGAAATATGAGAAAAAAGTTTCTGTTGTTTAAGCCACTTAATCAGTGGTATTTTGTTACGGCAACCTGAGCAGATGAATACAGTTGGTCAATAAAAAATTGGTTAGAGCATGAAATCATAAAAAATTACATAGATCACCTTAAAAAATGATCTTGATTGACATATTGAACTGCATGTATTCAAAGTGGACAATTTGATAAATTTTGACACACATACATGCCTATTAAGCTATCACAGCAATCAAGGTAATGAACATACTCATCACCAACTAACAATTCATCTCCTTAACCCCTTCTCTATTTGGTTTCTTTTACTCAGCATAATTATTTGGAGATTTATCTGATCATTCTTTTTTATTGCTGAATACATCCATTGTATATATCTGCTACAATTTTTTTTTCAATTTTATTTAAAGATTTTTACCAGTTTTGAGAAATAATTGATATATAATGTGTAAGGTTAAAGTGTACAACATGATGCTTTGATATATGTATATATTATAAAATACTTAAGCACAGTAATGTTATTTAACATATCCATCATCTCACATAGTTTTACAGTTTTCTATATGTGTGTGTGTATTAAAATGTTAAAAAGAACTTTTAAAATTCTCAACTTCTAAGGAGTTTTATATCAGGTCTTAGGTTTATAAGTCCCTAATCCATTTTGAGTTAATTTTTAGAGGTCCAGTTTCATTCTTTGGTGGGTGAAGTCCAGTTTCCCCAGCACCTTTTATTGGAGAGTCTATCCTTTCCCTATTGGATATTCTTGTTTCTCTTGTCAAATATTAGTTGACCATATATACATGGATTTATTTCTGGGCTTTCAAATCTGTTCACTTGGTTTATGTGTCTGGTTTTTGTTAATACCATACTGTTTTGATTACTATAGCTTTGTAATATAGTTTGAAATCATGCTGTGTGGTGCCTCCCACTTATTTATCTTTTTAGTTTTGGCTATTCAGAGTCTTTTGTGGTTCCATATGAATTTTAGAACTGTTTTTCTATTTCTGTAAAAAAAAAATGCCATCAGAATCTTAATAGGGATTTCATTGAATGTATTGATGGATTGTACAGATGTTTTAACAATATTAATTATTCCAGTCCATGAATACAGGATACTCTTCCATTTATTTGTGTCTTTCTCAATTTCTTTCATCATTGTCTTAGAGTTTTCAGTGTAAAGATCATTCATCTCCTTGGTTAAATTATTCCCTTAGTGTTTTATTATTTCTGATGCTATTTTAATGGGATTGTTTTATTTCTTTTTCAGGTAGTATGTTTTTAGTGTATAGAAATGGAACTGGTTTTTGTATGCTTGTTTTGTATCCTGTAGCTTTACTGAATTCATTGATTAGTTCTAAAATTTTTTTTGTAGAGTCTTTACAATTTTCTATATATAAGATCATGTCATCTGCAGACACAATTTTACTTCCTTCCAATTTGTATTCTTTTTCTTTTTCCTGCCTGATTAACATATAGAACTGGCTATGACCGCCAATATTATGTTGAATAGGAATGATGAGAATGGGCACCCTGGTTCCTGATTAAGAGGAAAAGCTTTCAGCTTTTCTCCATTGAGTATGATGTTGGATGTGGACTAGTCATATAGGGCCTTTATTATGTATGTTGAAGTATGTTCCTTCTATACCTTAACTGTTGAGAGGTTTTTTTTTATTGTGAATGGATAACTTTATCAAATGTTTTTCTGCATCTATTGAGATGATCACTGTTCTTTTAATCTTGCTATTAATATGTATCACATTTATTAATTTGTGTATATTGAACCATCCTTGCATGGTATATGATCCTTTTAATGTACTTTTGAATTTGGTTTGTTAGTATTATGTTGAGAATATTTGCATTTATATTCATCAGGGATATTGACCTTTAGTTTCCTTCTCTTACAGTGACCTTATCTGGCTTTGGTATTAGTGTAATGCTGGCTTCAGAAAGTCAGTTTGGGAGTGTTTCTCTCCTCTTCAATTTTTGGAAGGGTTTGAGAAGGACTGGCATTAATTCCTTAAGTGTTTTTGGTAGAACTCACCTGCGAAACCATCTGCTGGGTTTTTCTTTGTTGGGGAGTTTTTGATTACTGACTCAATCTCCTTATTCATCAGTCTGCAATTTTCTTCTTGATTCACTCTTAGTGGATTATATGTTTCTAGAAATTTCTTCATTTCCTCTAGGTTGTCTAATTTGTTGGTGTATAATTGTTCCTGGTAGTTTCTATGATCCTTTGGTTGCTATCAGTTGTAATAGCTAGTCTTTCATTTATAATTTTATTTATTTGTGTCCTCTCTCTTTTTTTGGTTAATCTAGCTAAAGGTTTGGAATTTTTTTTTGTTTATCTTTCTAAAGAGCAAACTCTTAGTTCTGTTAATCTTTTCTTTTGTTTTTGTGTTCTGTAATTTTCTTCATAATTTTCTTCTGCTAACTTTGGACTTCTTTTGTTCTTTTATTTTTAATTCCTTGAGGTGTAAAGTTAGGTTGTTTATTTGAAATCTTTCTTTTTTCCTGATGGATGTGTTTATCATTGTAAACTTCCTTCTTTGAACTATTTTTGCTACATCCCATATATTTTGGTCTTTTCATTTTCTTTAGTCTCAAGATATTTTTTCTTACATATCCCTTTTGATTTCTTTGATCCATTGCATGTTTAGGAGTATGTTGTTTAATTTCTATGTATTTGTGAATTTTCCAGTTTTCCTCTTACTACTGATTTTTAGTATAATTTCATTGTGGTTGGGAAAAATATTTGATATAATTTCTATCTTTAATTTACGGAGACTTGTTCAGGGGCCTCCCTAGAAAATGTTCCATGTACATTTGAGAAGAATTTGTGTTCTGTTGCTGTTAGATGGAATGTTCAGTATATGTCTGTTAGATCCATTTGGTTTACAGTGTTCAAATCTAATTATCTTTATTGATATTGTGTGTGGATAATTTATTCATTGTTGAGAGTGGAGAAATAAACTCCACTATTATTGTGTTACTCCTTATTTTTCCTTTTACTTCTGTTAGTATTTGCTTTATATGTTTAGGTGCCTTGATGTTGGATGCATAATGTTTATAATTGTTATGTCTTCTTGATGAATTGACTTCTTTATCATCATAGGTACCTTGGAGTACCTTGACTCTTGTGGCAATTTTTAACTTGAAGTCTGTTTTGTCTAGGCTACTTCTGCTCTCTTTTGGTTACCATTTGCTAATAATAACTTTTTCCATCCCTTCACTCTCAGTCTGTGGGTCCTTAGAACTAACATGAGTATCTTGGAAGCAGCATGTTGTTGGATCTTGTTTTAATTCATTTCATCCATTCTTTGTCTTTTGATTGGAGAATTTAATCCATTTACATTTAAAGTAATTATTGATAGACAAGGACTTGTTATTGCCATTTTGTTAATTGTTTTTTGACTGTTTTGTAGATCCTTTGTTACTTGCTTCCTCTCTCATTGTCTTCCTTTATTATTTGATGATTTTTTGTGATGGTATGCTTTAGCCCTTTTATCCTAGTATTTTGTGTATCACAGGTTTTTCCTTTGTGACTACTAAAGTATCTTATATTTGTAACATTGTATTACAAGCTGGTAACAACTTTGATAGCATATGGAAAGTTTGTACTTAAAATTCTCCCTCACGTATTAGGTAATTGATGTTGCATTTTTATATTGTGGATCCAATAAAAAAATTTTTGTAGTTATAGTTATTTTTAGTACACTTTCTTTTTAACTTTAAAACTAGAGTTGTAAGTGAATTATCCATCACCATTACAAGAGAATTTATATTTACCATTACCATGAGCTTTACACATTCATATATTTTTGTGATGTTAATTAGTTTCTTTATTTTCCAGCTCGAAGAATTCCCTATAGCATTTCTGGTAAGGCAAGTCTAGTGGTAATGAACTCCCTCAACTTTTGTCTGGGAAATTCTTTATGTCTCTTCCTTTTCTCAAGTACAACTTTTCTGAATATTGGATTTTTGGTTGATAGTTTTTTCTTTCAATATTTTGTATATATCATCTCCTACCTGCAGTTTCTACTTACAAATCCTCTTATAATCTTACTGGGGTGGGGTGTATGTCTCCTTTGTATGCAATGAGTCATTTTTTTCATGAGTCTGGATGACCCTTTCTTTGCTCATGTTTATAAGTTTTCAACAATTATTGCTTTGAATAGCCTTTCTGTCTCTGTTTTTCTCCTCATCTGGGTTTCTATGTATATCTTGCTTCTTTTTATGGTGTTCTGTAAGTCCTGTATGTTTTCTTCTCTCATTCTTTTTCTTTTTGCTCTTCTGGCTGGATAA